CAGCGTAAATTTTTTCACATAGTTTCACATGAGCTGGCATGGAGAGGAGGGGAAGGACATTCTGCTTGTATCCAATACTTCAAAGAAGAAACTGATAATTTCGGAAACCCAAAAGGTCGGATAGAATATAATCCAATTTTCTCTAAAACCACACAAGGTGGTTCTAAAAAACTGTCGGATAGTAAATGGTTGATTAGAAATTTCGAAAATCCACAAATGTGTCCGGTTCGCTTGTTTAGAAAGTTGATGGAAAAAAGGGGAAATCTTATTCAAACCGACAGACTATTCTTAACACCAAACCCATACTGGAATCAACCCAATTCGAAAGGATGGTACAAGAATAGCCCAGTTGGTAAGAACATTGTATCTTCATGGTTTAAATCAGCAGCTTCAGATATAGGAATTGACACTAAAAAAGTTAAAATAACCAATCATTCTGCAAGAGCAACAGCTGTTTCGAATTTGGCCAAGAAAGGAGTTGGTGAACAACAGCTCATTAAAATTACTGGACATAGTAATAGTCAGTCGATCAAACCTTACTTACAGTTGGACGCTGAACATCATCAACAGATGATTGAATCCATGAGGAGCATTTCATCAAGTACTAGCCAGTTCAATCATGATCAGAGCACAATGCAAAATAAAACAGAAAATACCCAGATTCAAACCACCAATTCAAGCCAGCCTACAAACATTTACAATAATTGTGTTTTTAATATTAATAAAACCTATAATTACTAAATGTGTTTCGTTATTATTTTGCTATATTAGTCGATATCATTAAAGATTTGGCATTGAAGATAATTCAACATGAAATAAATTCTAAAAAAATCATATAGATATATCCATCATATTTCGTTAAATAGAAAAATACCAGCTTTAGTTAAATAAAGGCGGCAGAACTATATTTTTTAGAACATGGCAATTTCGAAGAAATTCATATGTAGGTATATCTAACATATTTCCTTAAATAAAAAATATTACCAACCTTAGTTACATCAAATGCTAAAACTCAAATGGGTAATATTTCAATATATAGACATTGTAGTTCATTCACATTATGATTGTAGATCTTATGTTTACCTTTTCAACTGTCAAAAAATTTCCACTAAAGTTTCGTGGCGCCTCGAAAAAATTTCCGGAAATTTTTTCAGTTGCCATGGTAACTAGTCAACATTAAAGCATGTTATTGGTTGAAAAGTAGAGGTGTGAAATTTTCCAAATAATTTCTGAAGTAACGGATGAAAATTGGTGTCTGTCAGTTTTTTGAGAAGAGAAATTTGATTTTGATGTCAGTATGCTACACCTGTTCGGTGTTGATTGTTGAGAATTGAACACCGGTGTTTCAGTCGGTGTACCGGTGTCAACACCGACATCGGTGTTTATCTCAACACCGGTATTCATTTCAGCACAGGTGTTTAACTCAACACCGGCGTTCATCTACAATACCGGTGTTTATCTTGACCGGTGTTTATCTAAACACCGGTGTCGAGATCAACACCGGTGTCGATGTCAATGGTGCCGTTTGTTTTTTTTTTTAGTTTTTTTAATGTAATATTTTTTAGTTCATTTTACAGCTACGAATTTTTGTTTCTTTACGTTTTGTGTCACACCGGTGTCGGTGTCGACACCTGAACACCGGATAGCCTATATTTGGCCACCGGTGTCAGTCCAACACCAGTGTTGAAACGGTGTTCCGGTGTTTGGAACAAGCCTAAGTATGACTCCTACTTGTAGAGGGCGCCACCCACATATTTTAACTTGTTTAAAGAGTAATATAAATGTGGATATATTGTATAAAACTACTGAGTAAAAAAATATACATTTACGACGATTTTTACGTAAAAAAGTATCTTAGTAAAAATCGGCTACGAGTAATGGTTCTCAAGATATTTGGAATCAAAATTATCAATACCTGTCTATGCAAAAAAAAGAAATGACGTTATAAAAAGGTATTTAGTTTTTTTTTCTATATAAAATCTTGAAACACATATTATATTTTTTAGTTATCCTCACCTATTATAGTTTAAATTTATTCCCATTTGTGTAATGCTGCAAAACATAAGAAAAGTATTCCATATTTTTTGACCCAAGCCAGTGTAGTTTATAATTACCAAACCAAACCAAGAGCACTTACCAAGGCTTTTACTAAGACAAGTAACTTCCTATACTGTCCATAATAGTATATATTTATCAAAGGTGCAGTAAATTCTAAACTATGGTAGATAAGTGTCTGCAATTGAATATTTAGTTTATATTGCTATTTTCTGTCATATTTTTCTGGTTATTTCTTTTTCCGATGATTTTGAACACTCTATATATGCTACCTCAAGTTTGAATATTTACACACTAGTACACTACCTACCTATTTTCTGAGAAAGCAGACCTTTTTATAAAAAGTAATTAACTGATGTTTTCATAAAAGTAATAAAACAAAAAATTCCATACTTATGTGGAGACTTTAGACTTCCTGTATATTAAAAAATTAGTGAAATATTACGTAATCTAACCCGACATTTGTGTGAAAAATGTCTATTTGGAAATAAAACAGGTTTTAAAATACGCGCCAAATAAAGCACTTCTAACTCCGCCATATTGGAAAAGGTTGAATGGCCTTGTGTGGCGCTGGTGGTGGGTCAGCATGGTGGCCCGGCCGTGTTGTCGCTTTTCAACATGCCAGGTGTGACGTATTAAAAATAAAGTGCGGATTTTTATTCTGGGCTTTTTTGTTTTTATTTATTTTCTTAAGAACGACTTCAAATTTTTCGAGTGAAAGAAAAAAGTGAGATAGCAGAAAATTCCAGAATTAATTGCTTTATTCAATTATGCTAATTCCAAAATATAGTGAAAGAGCCTATTATCAAATTCAATAAGAAAACGCTAAAAAGTTGGAGTGGACTGTTTATTTACCTATGAAACGTAACTCCTGACTCTTTCTTATCGCTGCTGCTTTTACACTTCAAAGCTGAACAACTAATGACCATTGTAATAAAGTTTATACAAAGTTTACCACACACAAACTATTAAAAATCGCTAAAATTGTCGCTGGTGACCAAATGATGACGCATTGTTTGCCACCAAAACAAAAAAAAGGTCACAAATTCTGCTGCAGCCCGTATAGGGGCGTTACATGTCCTTATATTCTTTAGTCATTGATGCCGACTATATGTTGAGGAAACTTGAGGAAGAATACGACAGATGGGGACTCAATATCAACCTCACAAATACCGAATACCTGAAAGTAGGAGAAGAACAAACTGAAGATCCTGAACTACACATACATGAAATTAAAAGGTGTAGCGAATATAAATATTTAGGAAGTATTATATCTGAAGAAGGGAACTCCAAGAAAGATATACATAGTAGAGTTCAACAAGGTAAGAAAGTAATCCGTCTTTTAAACCATCTCCTGTGGTCAAATAAAACATCCATCCAAACAAAGATAAGGATTTACAAAGCAATCGTAGAGCCAATTTTAACATACGGTGCCGAATGCTGTCAATTTACAGCAAAAGAAAGAAGGATGGTCGAGTCAGTGGAGATGGACTTTCTCAGAAGAGTATGTCGCATATCAAGGATGGCACACATTAGAAATGAGGAGATCAGGCAAAGAACAAGGCGAATATATACCAGCACCGACAACATCGAATCGAGACAGCTACTATGGTATGGGCACGTAAAAAGAATGGGAGAGGAAAGATGACCAAAAAGGGCAATGGAGTATCGTCCCCAAAGCAGAAGGAAAAGAGGAAGACCTACAACTACGTGGTTAGATGGAGTAGACCAGTATATGAGAGACAGAGCTATTAACCAGGAAGAATGGCAAAATCGAGCAATATGGGGTCGAATATATATATATATATATATATATATATATATATATATATATATATATATATATATATATATATATATATATATATATATATATATATATATATATATATATAGTTTTGTATTATGAGTTTTAGTTTAAATGAATTGTGTTGTGATAGTTTAAGGTTAACAAATTTGACTGGCAGACCTTGCAGTTGAACATTGTCCTTTTTAGAACCTCTTTTAATGCGAAGTTTACAAGATAGGTTAATAGCCGTAAAAACTCATCGTAACATCATTAGGATATTTTGAACGGGAAATGGGTAGTAATGGCCCTTTATGTCCCTTAAGTGCTGTTAAGAAGGTGAGTTTTGTTGATGTAAATAATAACTATTTATATATTTATAATTAAGTTATTTTTGTTTCCTAAACTAATTTGAATAAAAGAAAATATGTAAAAGTGGGCAACGCTGTGCCGGTCAAGCTTAATCATGTGACTAAAAGTTTATTTGATATGAACTATATATGTTTAAGTATAATTTAGTTAGTAGGAGAAAGAGATACCTAGTAGAATGAGATAAACTAAATCTTATTTCCAATTTCTTTAAGTCAATCTCTGAATCGAATCATCGGTAAAAATAAAAGAAGTCTGCTCCAGACAGGCTTCAATGAAGAGAACTTATCAATGTCGACTGATAATTCTTGATGTCTCTAGATCTCTATAGTGTGAAAATGTAAATAATAAAACATTGCTTATCTTCCCAAGTCTCAAACATTCCTTTTTCTCACCCTGTATAAAATGTTTACTGAAAATAATGAATATTATAGACAATTTTATGACACAAAAATAAAATTAAGTAGGTAGCCACTGGAAATAATGTAGAAATAGACATTTAACTCTAGAAAGAGGAAAAAGCAGTATATAAGCTAAAGGTTGATGCAAAACCATTTCTCAATACAGAGCTCAATAGTAAATGTCAAAGGCCTTTAATTTATTGTATCTTTAGAACAATGACTGGAACATATAAACGTTTGTATTATGTTTTCAATAATATCCTTTGAAGCGAAGAGGAAAACTTTTGGAGCAGGAGAATTTTCATCTGTCATTTTCTCCATCCTCTTACAATAACAATAAATATAACCCTATTTATTTACAAATATGAAAAATCTTCAGGAAAACTTACCTTCTATTGAATAAAACCGTTTTTTTACAAAACCCAGCAGTATATTACGTTACTCTTGTGCACCAAACATAAACACAGCACATATTTTAGAACAACTCGAACATTATTTACTTATAACAATAAAGTGTATAAAAATGATATACTATATATCATGGAATAACGTTGCAATATTTGAGGCACTTTTTTCGGGAAAACTAAAACGAAATAGTCATCGGAAAAAACAAAAAAAGTTAACTCGTGAAAAACTAAACCTCAGCTTCCACAACCCACAACTCACTTCATTAAATTTTGCTCCATCTGGAAGCCAACTGTTGAACTAATTAGTAATTTTGACATTAACCACAGATTCCACTAAAAAAAATATATAATTATTTTTTCCGTTTTTTCCCTAAGATTTTTCCATATAAATAGAATTTAAATAGATATTTCAACGGCGATTAATATGTATTGGTAATTACTAAAAAACAATATAAGAACCTTTAATTTAATGATTAATCCTAGATAAACGGAAATTTTTGAAATTTTTGGCATGTGCGGTAAAAGCCCCAGTTAATTTTTCATCAAAAACTAAAAGAAGATTAAACGTCAAAATAAGTTCTAACCTGATTTTGCTCTGGTTTGTGCTCTGGTGATATTTGATTTGTTTATATCACGGGTTTATATTCTGATTAAGCATTTCTTATTTTTTACAAATACAATTATTTTTGACTGAAAATGTCGACTGTGGGTTGTGAGCACTTTCAAGAATTTAAATCCAATCCTAATAACTTGGACACGTTACGATGGGTTCATTCGGTTTTTGTCGTAGGCTCAAGCAAAGATAAAAGAACTGGCTTAAATTATAATTATCACCAAACTAAGGTATAGCGAATTTTTAGTTTCCTACTAATTATATTTGTAACATTTGACCTGTTCTATATCACTTCGTGTGATCCATTGAATTAATAAATAAATTTCTGTTTCTATTTTTTTAAATTCTTTTTTAAAAAAGTATACTTTTAATTGACATTCTGAAGATATCTTAAGTTTATTGTTAGATTTTCCTAGATCAGTCGTATTTTATTTTAGATTATGAACTCCTTTTGTCACACGTGTAATAATCGTGGTCCAAATTTACACGCATGCATAGATTGTGTTTTTTTTGGATGCCTACCACATATTAGAGAACACACCAAGGAGGAACACCACGATTTCTCATTAGAACTAACGTATGGACAAGTTCATTGCACCAAATGTGGGGATTATATTTATGATTCTGAACTGGATGAGATTAATAAAACAAATAGAAAACGCAGCGATACCTTTCACAGAAGGTAAATGTCATCAGATAAGTAAGGGGTGTCCGTTTTTACAAAAATTCAAGATTTTCCATAGCAAAAGAGTTACGGCGATTTGTTAAAAATGCACACTTTTGAAAAACATCCTGTAACTCCGGAACGGTAACAGATATCGATGTGCAAAGCGATGTGAAAAGGGTGTTCCCTTTTAAAAGCGTCCAATTTGGCCTATCCTGTTCATTGATACAGTAATAACTTTTACTTTTAGACTTTTTGAATGTAGTACTTGGAATCCGACGGAGGAAGAGAAAGACCTGCTCACTCTTTATACACAAAGGGTGTGCATTACGGATAAATCTCAGATAGGTTTAAGAGGACTGGTTAATTTCAGGATTACTTGCTATATGAATTCTGTTGTTCAAGTACTGATGCACACTCCGCTACTCAGGGACTATTTCTTATCGGAGAGGCATTTCTGCAAGACAGATTCAGAATCTTGCTTGATGTGTATACTGTCAAATGTCTTTCAGGTAAGAAATGCTAAAACAATATTCAGGATCTGGCAATAGTGCGTCGGGCATAGAATAATTAACTGCAAGAAATGAAAATTCCAATGTTAAGAGTCTATTACGCTGTACTGTTCGGGCCACTCTCAGGGGTCGGGTAAAACGGGTGTATAGCCAAAGGAAATATACATTATCTTTCAGAAATCTGCCTAAGGCTTAGCCCGATCCTGTGGTATTAAGCCACACCCAAAATTCCAAATACACGTGCTTTGATTAAGGCTTGATTAAGGTTTGCAGAGCTTCAGCATTTGCCATAAAATAGCAAGCAATTTGTTACAAAACCATATAAATTATATATCACTGTAATCACAAAACTTCAATCTATTTCCGTAGTATAACGGAATTTATGTCTATATTTTCGAGAAAATTTAGTCCAAACATAAGGAATATTTTGTTGATGTTTAACCATCAAAATCTTAAAAATAAAGAAGTTGTCTAAAAATGTGCTACAATACCGATATAGTATAATCCTTTATCTTTAATTTCCTTCTTCATTTGTGTAAAAATACCTAGCCAGTTTTACATAAAAGGTTAAATGCCAAACGCTTATTTTGCATATACGTATTTTATTTTGCTACTTTTTAACAGCTAGATTAAGAAAAATATGTGCCACAGCGCACTGTTTGGTGACATCGTCACAATTTGGTCTCGCGTGTTATTTGTCTTTGGATTCTTTAGTCATTGAGTGAAATGGACTCTTAAAGCAGAGATCTTAAAGCTTGGAAACCAAATTGGAAACACGCGCTCGCCGCGATCCAAGCAGGCTGCTGGCAGAACTAAAGGTTCGCGCCATTTTTTTAAATGAACGTGTACTGCCAGTTCATAAGTTTTTTACTTATATTTGGTAATTTCAATCTAGATTATTAATTTCATTGTAACAAAACATTTTACAAAATAAAAATACTGTATTTTTTGATACAAATAAATTAATAATCTAGGTTGAAATCATCCCTGAAATTAGAATAAAACACGAAACATTTGTAACTTGATTATTTTATTATATCATTGTTAATAAAATTACAACATACAAGTACATACAGGGTGGTCCGAACTGTATTCCGGAAACTTCAGCAGCATATTCTGCAGATAAAAATAATTAAAAAATTCGTATAAATGTATGTCCTAAAATGCTTAGTTTCGGAGATACAGGGTGTAGAAGTTTCATTTCTATTTCGATTTTTTCCAAATAATTTATGAAGTAACGTCAATATTTGGATGAAAATTGGCGTCTGGGAGTTTTTTGACATGAAAAATTTGATTTTGATGACTCCTACTTGTAGAGGGCGCCACCTACATATTTTTTAACAGGTTTGAAGAGTAATAACTTTTTGTCCATACCTGTATAAAACTAATGAGTAAAAAATATACATTTACGACGTTTTTATGTAAAAAAGATCTCTTGGTAAAAACACAGATTAGGTATCCTATAAGTATACAGATAAAAATCTTGTCCCTAATTCGTGGTACGAAAATTGTTTTTTATGACGATGTGCAAACGAGTAAAATTTCCTGTGCGCAAAAATAAACGAGTGAAATTTACGAGTGTAAAATAACAATAAACAGCGTAATAGAGAGATATCGCTAAACCGAATAGCGTGCGTGGACGTTAATAAGGCCAGGGGTTATTTCCTTTACGTGAGGTGGTATTAACTCCCTTCATTTATAGTTATCGGATCGGAAAGAATTCTGTTTGCGCGTCCGCTATTTAAACTTAACCTAACTTTGAATTAAAAACTTTGAAATTGTTTTGTTTACTAGATATTTTAAAACTAAAGGGCTAAAGTGCTTATTTCCAGTGCTTTATTGTTCAACGTCTGCCAGTGGGTTTAGGGCAACAAACAACAAATTCTCTTAGAAAGCCTCTTTATAGGCTTTTTCATAAATTTCAATGAAGAAAGCAGCAATGCACTAGACGTTCTGTCCATAATGTGTTCTTTCAATTTAAAAAGAACAATTTTTGAAAATACTAGAATTACAAACACTGGAGGTAGTTGTATTGACAACATCTTTACAAATAAGGAAGATTATGAAGCTTGTGTGCTAATCTACCATATATCAGACCACACTGCTCAACAAGTTACAATCCATATTAAAAAAGAAATAGGTTATCAAAACTTCAAAAGAACTTTCAGAGAGGAAAATAAAAAACAATTTGCGGACACACTAAAGGAAGAAACTTGGGAGGAAATATATCAGATACCAACATCTGATGTCAATGAACAATGGAAAATTTTTGGCAATACCTTTCACCGCATTTTTGATCAACACTTTCCACTTAAACCTGTGTATAAAACAAGAAAGAAAACATCAATATACAAAAGTAAGGAAATAACAGAATGCAAAGAGAGATTAGACACACTACTAATGCTATCAAGATATAACGATCAATATAAAGATATTTACAGAGCCACAAAGAAAGAATATGACAGATTATTAGTTAAGGAAAAAGCTAACAAGTATGACGCAAGAGTGAAATCATCTGATAACAAAATGAAGTGTTTATGGTCAATCTGCAAGGAAACAACTGGTAAAAATTCCCCAAAGGATGATTGTTTTATAGATCAAGACCCACTAGTTCTAGCAAATGAATTCAACAATCACTTAATCAGTGTTGTGCCAAATATATTGTCCAGTATTAGGAAAGTACCATTCATCTGTAACATAAGTGAGAACAATGAGTCAATGCGACTGAAATCTGTGAATATAGAGGAAATTCAAAAAATTGGTCAAAGTCTAAAAAATAAACATAGCAGCGGTGTGGACGAGGTTCCAACATCTATAGTAAAATTCTGTTTGAAATATGTTGATGATATCTTGTGCTATATCATTAACAATTCGCTAAAATATGGGATCTTCCCAGACAGGCTGAAGTTGGCATTTATTAAACCAATCTACAAAAAAGGAGATCACTCTGATTTGAATAATTATAGACCAATTAGCTTACTGCCAAGCTTTTCAAAAGTATTTGAAACAATAGTTGCAAACAGAATATTAACTTTCATGAATAGTTGTAAACTGTTTCAGAATATACAACATGGGTATTTGAAGGAGAAAGGTACCATTACTGCATTGTTCGATTTCACTACATCAATAATACAACATCTGGAAAATAAAGATCTGGCAGTGGGTATATTTCTTGATTTATCAAAAGCATATGACTCTTTAGACCACCATTTACTACTAATAAAACTCGAAAAATATGGAATAAGAGGTCCAGCACTCAAATGGATTACATCATACTTGACAAATAGAGAACAACAAGTTATTGTGAGAAAAGACGAAAAGATTAGTAAGTCCAGTATACAAAAATTGAATATTGGTATACCTCAAGGCAGTATCATTGGGCCACTACTTTTTATCATCTACTTAAACGATATTAGTCAAACAACAAGAAATGCAAATTTTAGCCTTACATGCTATGCAGATGACACTAATATACTTACTCACGGAACAACACAAGATATTCTGAAGGAGAATGGCAGCAAGGCTTTCATAAGAGTAGAGGAATGGTTTGATGCAAATAGACTAATGCTAAATAAAGAAAAAACTAATACACTAATTTTTCGAACACAACAGAAGAAAATTGAATTAGCGAGCAATTTGAAAATTGGAGAAATGGATGTCAGCCTTGGTGGTGAATGCAGATTTCTTGGTATTTACATAGACGAGCATTTAAAGTGGACCCAACATATTTATAAGCTATGCTTGAGACTTGGCACAATTTCTTACAGTCTGAGAATTGTGTCAAGTTATGTGAACCGAGACTCAATGAAGACACTATACTGTGGGAATTTTGAGGCACTGCTGAGATATGGAATTATTCTCTGGGGATCAAATTCAGAAACTGCAAAAATTTTTGTGATTCAGAAAAGAATTATAAGACTTATAAAGCAACTTCAATACAGAGAAAGCTGTCGAGGACACTTTAAATCCTTCGGAATTATGACGCTTCCAGCTCTTTATATATATGAGTGTTTAATATTCATCTTCAAACATAAGTCCCTATTTGAAATGGAAAAATCTCATGAATACCAAACAAGATCCAGTGATGCTAAGTTCCCCTCACATCGTCTCACCCTGACTGAAAAAAATCCAGTATATATGTGTGTAAAGTTTTACAATAGCCTCCATGAAGACATAAGAGCAATCGAAAGTCAAGAAACCTATAAGAAATCGTTGAAAAAACTCTTAATTGAATTGGAACCCTATTCAATCAATGAATTCTTAATATAAAAGTCTCTTCACCGCTGACAATATTTCAATATGTCTATATATTTGTAATTTTATTGTACATATTTAGATCATTTTTGAAATAAATATTTTTATTATTATTATTATTATTATTATTATAGGTTCTTTAATATTGGAAGAGGTGGAATCCATATTTTGGGCCATATTTATTTAATAATCCCAGCTACTTAAATATCAAATTACCTAATAAAACTAAAGTAATAATTCAAAACAATTCAAACATAACCTAAAATAAAAGATCTCGCCGGCCGGCCCCGGTTGTCAAATACCCGCACATGCCCATTTAAGCAATTTTTAAACGTTATTTAGAAATAGCGCTTGGTGTAATTGATCCGCAAATTACGTCAGGCGGTAACGTTATTAGCGGGTGTTGCGTTAAAAATTGAGTCGCGCATATCGTAACCATGATAAGGTACGCGTAAATACTGCATGACGCTATTCGGTTTTCCGATATCTCTCTAATAACTGTGCCGGTCAGACGCTGTGCACAATTTTAGAGGCCATAAGTGGGCGTGCTATGTGCGCAAACTAGTAACCTAACTAATTCCGAAAATTGGAACAACGAAAAACAATAAAGGAAAAACAAAGTTTATAATCTGCATAATCTGTGGTAAAAATCGCTACGAGTAATGGTTCGCGAGATATTTGGAATCTAAATTATTAATACCTATCATCATTGACAAACTAAACATGTTTTCTTAAGCTTGATTTTCATGCATCCGTTATCCGACGATACGATGATACGATATTAATTTTATTGGTTGAATTTAAAGACTTCGATTGCTTAGAAACGGTTAACCAATCGAAGTTTTTAAAACGAACCAATAAAATTAATACCGTATCATCGTATCGTCGGACAACGGATGCATGAAAATCAAGCTTAAATAGTTATTAGACTAAAACTATAAATTTGAAATGTTTTTGTGTCAAAAGTTCAAAAGAAACTGTCTTATCATCATTTTTTCGCAAAAAAAATAATTTTAAAAAAAAGTACCTAAATTTATTATTTCAGCCAAATAACTATCAACTCGACGTGTTTATTTTTTGTCAATAATGACATTTTTAACTATTTCCATTCTAAATATCTTGAGAACAGTTGCTCTCGTAGCGATTTTTACCAAGAAATATGTTTTACGTAAAAAGTTACGGAAATGTATATTTTTTCACTCAGTAGTTTTATACAGGTATGGACGAAAAATTATTACTCTTCAAAACAGTTAAAACACATGTAGGTATCGCCTGGAGTTATATTGGCATCAAAATCAAATTTCTCATGTCAAAAAACTCCCAGACACCAATTTTCGTCCAAATATTGACGATACCTCAGAAGTTATTCGGAAAAATAGGATTAAAAATGAAACTTCTACACCCTGTATCTCCGAAACTAAGCATTTTATGACACACATTTATACGAACTTTTTTACTTATTTTTCTCTGCAGAATAAGCTGCTGAAGTTTCCGGAATGCAGTTCGGACCACCCTGTTTAGTACCAGCAGTATCTCAGAAACTACTTATCGTATAACTTTGGGAAAAAATTCTAATTAGTAAATCGACCAACTAAAATCGCTGGAAATTATTTTCAAGTTCGAAAAATGTCCGCTAGGGGGCGTTTTTCTGAACACCAATTAGAAAACAGGATTTTTCTGAAAAATATGCAGGTGAACTACTATAGTAAACGCCACGAATGTTTGGGAGTGATTCATCGGTCGCTACCATGTGAACTAATCTGTTCAAGGTCATATAAAACTTAATTCCAGTGCCGTGGTGTTTCAAGTCATATAATAATTAATATATAATCTGTTGTAATTTGTTGTTTTAACTGTCAAAGTCTTGTCAAAACATATATTTGGTTATAAATATAAAATGGAATGCCCCATTGGTCGCACTGCAAGCACACCAATGGACAGACGCACAAAAATCGATCAAAGAAACGCGATATAGTATCGTCTTTGTCAATCACGCTAACATTTTAGAATAAGTAGGGGGAGCGCAGGCAGATGATTAGACCGGGCCTTTAAAAACCTACGTCTGCGGTAAAGATTTACGTTTTTAATGTAAAAATGATTGCGCGCGTGTCGATTCTAACTTCATCAAGCGATTAATCACTCCCAAACATTCGTGACGTTTACTATAACTACCTATGTATAATTAACCAAGACATTCATAAAAATTATGTGGATGGACGATAATGTTACATAAACACGTTTAAAAAAATTTATGATAGTTCCCACTACTAGAAAACGCCCGATATTCGGATGCATGAAAACTGAACTTAAACGTTTTGATATTTTGACTTAACCAATTTACCTCTTTTTGTTTCCTAGCCTACTACTATAATTTTTAGACTATATAATCCTAAGCGGCAGCCTAACATAATTTGTTCTCTTAATATCTCCGGTTAGAGACAAGATAGAAAGTTGGTTTGCTCTGATATTTTCGAAATTTTATGCTCTATTTAACTTTGCAAAGAGAAATATAGCCTCCTAATTAAAATTTTAATGCAAAAGCGCAATATCTGTTATGATGTCAAACAGCGCCCTCTAGCTACCACGAAAAAAATTATGGAAACAAAATTTATACTGAAGATCATTAAGGAAGAAAAGCTCTTTTAAACGAGCCCTAGTTTGTTTAAATCGGTTAACCCAGACCAGAGTTATCCTTGTTTTAATAAAAGCAAGTTTAACCTTCCCCCACCACTTTATTTTATGAGTTAGAGCAAAACACTCTATATTAAAAAAATTACAAATTTCTCGATGATTACAATAGTAATATTTAAAATACCTCTTTACCTGCATATTTTTGAGAAAAACTCTGTTTTCTGATTGGCTATCAGAGAATACTTGACTAATAAACTTGAAAATAATTTCCAGCGATTTCTCTTGGTCGATTTACCTATTAGAATTTTTTCCCAAAGCCATTCTTGGTTGGCCACCCGGTACATAGTATAATACAATGACAATACTACTTACTAGTTTTTATTTAGCAGCGAATAATATAATTTATTTACTTTATGTTTAGGAGTTCTATAACGGAGACAAGGTACCCTTGTTGTTGCACAAACTGTTACATTTTATATGGACGCACGCGCCACACGTGGGTGGCGATGTTCAACAAGACGCTCACGAATTTTTCATCGAGACCCTCGGACTGTTACACAAACACTGTGCGGAAAGCATCAATCATACCAGTCATGCTGTAGTAACTAACAATTGTTCTTGTATTATACATGAGAGCTTCACAGGGAGTTTGCAGAGCGACATCGTTTGTCAGAAATGCAAGTATGTACCCGCTTTTTCATTTGTTCGCTATAGGCTTGGTGAATTCTCCGTCGGTGCTGCCACCATCCATGGGGAATAGGGTTTCCGCAACCGGAGCTGTTTTTCGGATCCGGAAATTTCGGTAACGCGCCTCTTAAGAACCGGGATTTCCCGGGTTTTTTTCGACACTTTCGGTACTGGCTAATTTTTGTTCATTGGTGGTGCAGTTCATCAATCAGAAAGCAAGGGATGTTTTTTTAAAGTAAAATAAAAAAATGGAAATCCCATGTAAATTTTAATGGGGTCATTTATTGACTTCCCTAATTATTTTAGAGAATAATTCTATTTAGGTTTATTGAAGAGCACTAAAACCCACATTCAAAAGAATAACTTTAGATATTTTTGATTAGCCCGTTTACGAGTTATCGCCGATTTCTTTTTAAATATTTCTCCTTTCTTATGGCCCCGTATTTACTTATGAGCACCAGTCAAGGTAAAAGCATGGTAAAAGATAACTGTCAAATGAAGTCGTCATTTCAGAAATTTATCTATTTAGTGCTTTATTATTATTATTAAAAACTCGTACCTACATCGAAAATATTAGCCATAAATTACACTACCGAAGAAAAAGTATTGATGATTAAATGGTATTGTCAAGGAAATAGTTATCAAAAGGTGTCGGACAAGTTTGCTGCTCTGTATTCGAATAGACCGATACCTGGAAAATCTACAATCGCAAGGAATATCCAGAGATTTGAGACCAAAGGTACCCTAATAAATAACTGCAGATGTGAAGCAAGGCAGGAACAAAGAGAAGATGCAAGAAATGATACCGACTTGGAAGTTTTATTGTGCGTGGAAGAGAACGATGGAAAGATCAGCACAAGGAAACTTGAGGATGAAATAGGAATAGATCACACTACAGCGTTTCGAATTTTGAAACGACATAAATACTATTCCTTCAAATATGAAAAGCACCAAGAGCTACGAGATGGGGACGAAATACGGCGGCAGGCGTTTTGTTTTGATATGATGGAAAGAGCAAACACGGATAGGGAATTTTTAAAAAACATATGTTTCACTGACGAATGCACGTTTACCTTAAATAATGAACCCAATGTTCAAAATTATCGATATTGGAACAAAGAAAACCAACACAGGTTTGTCGAAACAAGGACGCAATATCCACAGAAAGTAAATGTTTGGGCAGGGATATTCGGACACAATATTATCGGGCCATTATTTCTTACGCGAAATTTAAATGCAGAATATTATTTGGAACTACTCGAAAATCATATTTGGATGATCACAAATGGATGGCTGCCCGGCACATAGTACCCTGGCTGTTCGGGAATATTTAGACAATAGTTTTAACGGAAACGTTATTGGCCCAAATCATACAGTAAATTGGCCAGCAAGGTCTCCTGATATTTCGCCAAATGATTTCTTTCTCTGGGGCCATTTAAAAAACACGATATACAAGGATAAAAAATACCCAAATCTAGACGAGTTTAAAAATGCTATTTTTGCCGAATGTAATAGAATTTCAGTTTACCAACTAGCGAATGTAAGAAGAGAATTTTATGATCGCCTGGGTTATTGTCTAGCAGTCGATGGAGGAATATTTGAACATATTCTTAAATCCTAAATTTCTAACAATTTAATAGTACCTAAATTAATAAGTTATTGAATATTGTAATAATACTATAATTAACCTTGTAATTGATTACTTTATTTTACTTTAATTCATATTAATTTGTATTTATAAATACATCTTTAAGATTTCCGATGTAGGAATGAATTTTCAATAATAATAAAAAGTACTATATAGGTAAATTTCTGAAATGACAACTTCATTTGACAGTTATCTTTTACCTTGACTGATGCTCATAAGTAAATACAAGCAAGGCAGGAACAAAGAGAAGATGCAAGAAATGATACCGACTTGGAAGTTTTATTTTGCGTGGAGAGAACGATGGAAAGATCATTTTTAGAGGAAACTTGAGGATGAACTAGGAATAGATCACACTACAGCATTTCCGAATTAATCTAATAAACATAAAGACTATTCCTTCAAATATGAAAAGATTCAAGAGCTACGAGATGGGGACGAAATACGGCGGCAGGCGTTTTGTTTTGATATGCTGGAAAGAGCAAACACGGATAGGGAATTTTTAAAAAACATATGTTTCACTGACCATATCAAAACATATGTTTCACTGACGAATGCACGTTTACCTTAAATAATGAACCCAATGTTCAAAATTGTTCAATATTGGAACAAAGAAAACCAACACAGGTTTGTCGAAACAAGTGACGCAATATCCACAGAAAGTAAATGTTTGATTTTTTTAAATATTCGGACACAATATTATCAGAAAGGATTATTTCTTACGCCAAATTTAAATGCAGAATATTATTTGGAACTACTCGAAAATCATATTTGGATGATCACAAATGGAAAACTGCCCTGGCACATTGTCACCCTGGCTGTTGGGAATATTTAGAAAAAATACCTTTTTAACGGAAAATTTCGCCAAATGATTTCTTTCTCTGGGGCCATTTAAAAAACAGGATATACAAGGATAAAAAAATACCCAAATCTAGACGAGTTAAAAATGCTATTTTTTGCCGAATGCAATAAATTTCAGTTTACCAACTAGCGATGTAAGAAGAGAATCTTATGATCGCCTGGGTTATATGTCTAGCAGTCGATGGAGGAATATTTGAACATATTATTTGAATCCTAAATCTTCTAACAATTTAATAGTACCTAAATTAATAAGTTACATGAATATTGTAATAATACTATAATTAACCTTGTAATTGATTACTTTATTTTACTTTAAAAATAAATCCTTTGAATTCAAATATAAACATAAAAAACATTTACAGCAGAAAAGGCGAAGGCGCTGGGTTAAACGTAGTCTCCACTAAAAACACGGAGGGGCGCTTTGACCCAAAATTTTACTATTAAGTTTCATATCTATCTTAATAGTAGATTATTTTCTTTTATCTATGACCTTGACTGATGCTCATAAGTAAATACAGAGCCATAAGAAAGAAGAAATATTTAAAAAGAAATCGGCGATAACTCGTAAGCGAACTAATCAAAAATATCTAAAGTTATTCTTTTGAATGTGGGTTTTAGTGCTCTTCAATAAACCTAAATAGTATTAGGGAAGCCAATAATTGACCCCATTAAAATTAAAATTTACATGGGATTTCCTATGTCCCGTCCGACGATGCAACACCCAGTATATTATAATAAAGAAATATTATTATATTATTAAAGAAAAATATATAGCTAACTTAAATTTCACATCAAACAACATAAACCAACATAACTGAATTTGAGACAAAAGCCCTAAAATATTGAATTAAAAATGCAATTATCTATTAAAACATAACATAATAAATATTATAGAAACTTCAAAAGAGGAAAGAAGCAAGAACAATAAGAAATAGCATCATTACTTATTTAGAAGAGTTTGATTTCGACCGCTAGAAAGTATCAAGGGACTTTCGCACGTAACAAAAAGTATGTGTTTAATTATTGTTACAAAGGCCCGGTTCTGTGATGGCCAAAAAGATCTGGATCCTAATTGGTAGTATTAATTAGATTTTCCAGAACCGTACTAAAATATTTTCGTTCAACGATTGTGGAATTCGTTACTTAGCAAGCAAGGGATGGTTCTCAAAAGTAAAACCTTAAAAGATAAAAAATTGAGCTTCAAATAAAAATAATATCAAATGATTGAGTCATGAGAAACTAAACATGAACACAAATAATGAACACAAGCGAAAAAAAAGAATAAAAAAAAAATCGCATAGGTAGCTTAAAAATTATATCAAACAACATCAACCAACCTCGAAACCAACCCCCTTAACTAAATTAGAGCAATTAAAGATGCAAATGCCTATAAAAACATAACATAAAAAAATATAACTAATATATTCAGCAATATTATACCAAGTCATAAATGGATTTTTCTGAGCAATCCGCAAAATAGTTTTATCAACTCTTCTTCCTGTATTTTTTGTAAAAAGCTTATTTTTGGCAAACGGATTTTTCGAAAGTCAAATTCCAACGAGATGAAACTACCCCTCAAATATTACCAAGTTATATAATAATAAAATTATATAAGAGTTTCTTGCCTTGAACTGCTAATATAGAAATTAATTCCACGCTGTGTTCGACATAATATGGATCAACCTGCTCTCACTACCGGTTTCGGGGCCCTACCCCATCATCAGGTGAGCTTGGGTATTTCCACAATATGTCGAGCACAGCGCAGAGCGGGACTTAATATCTTACCGCTCTTATCTCGCGATGCGGGACTTAATATCTTACCGCTACTTTACGACAAGTCGTGTTATACTCTGCGCTGTGCTCGACATATTGTGGAAATACCCAAGCTCACCTGATGATGGGGTAGGGCCCCGAAACCGGTAGTGAGAGCAGGTTGGTCCACATTATGGCGAACACAGCGTGGAATTAATTTCTATATTAGCAGTTCAAGGCAAGAAACTCTTATATAATTTTATTATATACCTAAAAACTGCAAGAAATTTATTTTCCGTTATATAATAATATCGCCATATTGTTTTTTTCTCATGCTGACATAAATGTGAGAAAATTTTATCCAGTTTGTATGTTAATGGAAATTCTTGCTTTGCTTTTTCATCACCATTACAAATGATTAATTCGACGCGAACGAAGTCGCTGGTACACGCTAAGACTATAAGAGCCTCTAAGGACCTTTATTATAATGGGAGAATAGTCAATTCTGGTAATGTTGCTAAAGAAACATGGTCTGTTGTGAATGAATTGAGAAACAAAGCTTCTTCGTCTAGCAATATCTAGCCGAACCAAACCTGAGAACCTTAACGATTACTTTGTAAATGTAGCGAAAAACTTAACTAATACCATATGTCCTTCTCATGATCCACTTTCTTATCTCTCTAATGATAATGTAAACTTACACAGTTTCTTTTTTTCGCCCTTAGTTTTAGAAGAGCTTCGCAGTACAATTAATACCATCAAAAATAAATCCTCTTCTGGGACCGACGGGCTAACTTTAAAAATGTTTTCAATCTGCCAGAAAGCACTCTGAATCACCTAACAACTTTGATAAACATTTCGTTCCAAAATGGTATTTTTCCAAAAATGTCTTAAGACGGCAATAATCATTCCTCTGCATAAAGGAGGAGACAAAGATGAAGCTTCTCAACTATCGCCCAATTGCACTCCTTCCAACGCTATCTAAGATCATAGAAATGTTGGTTAAAAGAAGGCTGGTATCTTTTCTGTTTAAGTACAAAATACTTACTGAATATCAATTTGGATTTCTAAGCAACAAGTTCACAAATGACGCTATGTTTTCCCTCCTTAATAAAATTTACTCCAGCCTAAACAACCATCATTCTACAGCAACAATTTTCTGTGATTTTTCTAAGGCGTTCGATTGTGTAAATCATAAGATCCTAATTAATAAACTTCAGCACTATGGGTTCAGGGGATCATCTCTCGAATGGTTTAAGTCGTATCTGAGCAACAGAAGTCAACTTGTGAGGGTGGATACCACGTTGTCTTCTAGCAAGTCAATAGAATGTGGAGTACCACAAGGCTCAGTACTAGGCCCTATTTTGTTTCTTCTTTTTATTAACGACATTGCTAACATAAACATCAGTGGCAAAATATGTCTTTTTGCGGACGACACTAGCTTCACTTGGAGCAACAAGGACATCACGGCACTTCATAGGATTATATCAAATGACTTAATCACCATTAAATCTTGATGCGATTCGAACCTCCTGAGTCTCAACATTTCTAAAACTAAAGCTTTGTCGTATAAAAACTCGTTGCAGCCTTTTGTACTTAACAACACCACCATTGACGTCGCAAAATCTGTAAAATTCTTAGGGCTTGTTGTGGACAATTCTCTGAAATGGGACATACATATCGAAGCTTTGTCGAAAAAATTGAGCTCTGCCTGTTTTGCATTAAGGTCTGTTTCTAAGGAGCTTAACTTGTCACTGGCTAGAACTGTTTATTATACACTTTTTGAGTCGCACCTCAGGTATGCCCTTCCATTCTGGGGTACGTGTTGTGCGACTCAATTTGACCGCATTTTCAAGCTGAAGAAGAGAGCTGTTCGATATGCACTGGGACTAAACAGCAGAACTCATTGCCGGGACTTTTTTAAAGAATTAAAAATATTGACTCTTCCTTCCTTATTTATATTTGAATCCGTTTGCCTAATGCGTAAACATGTATCAGCTTTTCAAGAAAGGCCATCTCACACTTATCCACTCAGGAACGCGGAGCAAGATCTTTATCTACCTACCCCACGCTCAGAGTTAGTTAAAAGTTCTATATTATACAAGTTGAAAAAAATGCACAATCACCTGCCATTTGAAATCAAATCCATAACATCATTTTTTTCATTTCGCAAAGCATTGAACTCTTATTTACTAGACAAGGCTTTCTACGCCGTAAATGAATTATATTTTGAAAATCGAATTTGATCTTGTAAACACTGGTCTTATGTTTGCTATTGCTATATTTACTAATGACATCGAAATAAATTTATTTAGAGGTCATTGATATTTTACTATAAACTAACTAAATATTTTTGAATATTATTTTTATTTTTTTTGTTCTTTGACATTGTAAACATTTATAAATGTTTATTTTAAACAATAAGACTGACAATATTATTTGTATAATGTTTTGTATTATCTTTTGTTTGTTTGTTTGTGTACCTGGTTTTTTTTACTTTGTTTGTTTACGTTTGTCTACAAATTGAAAAATTTTTTGGGCAATAAAGGTATTTATTTATTTATTTAGTATTTTATATAACTTTTAAATGATTATATCCATTTACAATTTCCTATTTTAAAATTTTATTGATATGTCTTTTTTTTGTGTTCTGCAATGTCCATGTATGTTGTATTTGTAATGTTAATGACGTAAATTTTTTTGAATTGTATGATTTGTATTGTATGATATTTTTTATTATTTGCATATTTTTTGTGCTTTTTGTACAATAAAGCGTTATTTATTATTATTTTATATGTCGTTTTATCTAAATCCATCCATCTTATTATTATTATTATTATTATTTTTAGAGGCGTCAGCACGACAATCGAGCCTATCTGGGATTTCGCCTTGGATTTAGTGCCCGGGGCACTAACTTTAGTGGAATGTCTGAAGCATTTCACCAAAGCGGAACTTTTGGACAACTTTTCCATGTGCGAATCTTGCGGCCTGCCTCGGCAGGTTACGAAACAGCTCAGCATTAAGACTTTGCCCACAGTAGTTACTTTCCAGTTGAAACGATTTAAGAAATCTGACGAGGTAAGGAAAGAATAAGCATAGAGCAGACCCGGCCGCATTTTCGTAACGAGCGTACGCTATCGCAAAACAATTTGAGCCGAACTCCTCTTCATATCGAGCGTTTGATATCGTAAGCTTCTTGCTATCCTGTACGCTTGATACAATGATATAGTCTATAAAATGAATAACTTTGAATTTTGACCGTTATTTTTTACCAACATGGCAAATATAAAAGCCCTCTGTCCAAAAAGTTACTGATATTCTTTAAAATGAGTGCCTGAACGAATCAGATAGGTAACTCTTTTTACTTTCGTGAAATAGAAAAGAAAAATTATAAAACAAGTGACAGTTCTTCCTCTTCTTGCAAAAATCAACGCGAAATGTCATAATTGACAAAAGTAAAATGTCATCAGCCTTTGACATTTCTAAATATCAAACCAATGCCGTCTCTAATAGAACAGCCTTGGAGCGAGATTTATGACGTCACGCTAGTTAGATACCACGGATTAATACATTTGTTGTAGAATACACGGAAAACATAATTATTCCTCGTATTTTTGGTTTGTATTTTAAAAATGATATAGTTTACATGAACTATACATAATATACAGTTAATAAATACAATATTGGGGTTTGAAAATCGATCTAATTTAACAAAAAACATTCAATATCTACTAATAGTGATGTATTATTATTTGCATTCACAAAATTTATATGTATATTTTGCAAGCATCAATGTGCGAAAAATTATATTTGCAAATAATACAATATCATAGGAAAAAAAGGCGTCAGCGATGGCTATGAAATGAAGATCGCTGTCATTTTATATGTAAAATTATTCTAAAATTTTCGATTTTTGGGATTTAGGTTCGGGAAAACGCTGATTAAGTTTGCATTTGGTTTTTCATTATTTTTTTTTTGTTTAAAAACGTTATAGCTAACGTTTATAGCCTCTCATCAGTGCTGTGTCATATGAAAAAAATGTCGAATGTAAATGTGTCGAATATAATCCAAAAAATTACATATACGAGGAATGTTTTCCATGTATTCTACAACATAATTAATCCGTAGTATCTAACTAGCGTGACGTCAGAAATCTCGCTCCGAGGCTGTTCTATTAGAGACGGCATTGCATCAGCATGGCCCGCAAGTTGCTAACCTAATAAAACTAACACTAGAAAAGCCCGCGGAACTGTCAAATTCAAAGTTATTCGTTTTACAGACTATACCTTTAAAACAACGAAAGAACCAAAATATATTTTTTGTCAGGTGTGTAAAATTCACCTGTAGAGTGTTTTCAAATTAGTAAGATTTAAATGTCATAGAAGTGCTTTTTAATTAAAATTTGGGGTGGATCCAGGATTGTATATATTCTAAAGGACTGTTCGATCGCGTCAAATCGCCGCTGTCGTTGTCGCCGTGGAATGCTACGTCACGCGCTGACCAGCGCTCCACAGTGCGGCGGATGGTTATTCTAACGGGACAAAATCTCAAGAGCAATGTTTGGGACTTAAAATCTAAGAACGTAGCAAATGGTCTAATATATAGCAACTATATGGTTAAATTTATTTATTTATTAACAACTTAGTTTATTAATAAATAAATACAAGATAATAAAGCTTTGATATTATTCGTACAACACAAAAACCGTATTGTAAACTATTGCCAAATACATAAAATTATGATATCAGGTGAAATACTTACAAAAAACCCTTTAGCAGTTATTTTTTAATTACTTTGTAATCATGCGACAACTTCTATATTTTATTTTAAAAAATTATATTTTATTTTAAAAATATTAATTAAGATAGATATTTTAATTTTAACACTCGGTAATTGTAAATTCATATATAGTAAGTATCTAAGACAATTTTTTAAACTCAGTGCCTTTTGATGGAGTTGTTTTGTTTTTATAGGTACTATTCGATTGAAATGAAACTTTTTGAACATTCACCTGTTAAGCTTGAACTCCCTGTGACTGTAACTACCTGTGTTGGTAACTGTTGGTAACTCAAAAAATCTGCATCATTCAATATATCGATATTTAAAAAAAGGCGAAAGTTTGATATCTGCAGAACAAAGGCACAAAGGATTTTAACAAATAATATACGTACAGTAGAAAAGTACATACCTTTGGCAATCTTCAACATAATTCGGCTTTGGAATAAAATGTATAAGCACAAAATATTTTGTTTTCGTATGATCTCTGCCTTCCTGAGCAGAAAACGACCAAATTTGGTTGATAAAAATGTATCGAAATACAAAGAATATTCATGCATTTTTATATCAATTGGAATGTCTACTATTTATTCTTACAGTACACATTTTTTGGCTTATTTCTAACCAAACGCTTTTGTCCCGCTCAATTTATCCTCCAACGCACTGTGCGCTCGTCCGTCAAATGCAAAAATAACTGTCAACTTCAACTCGGTCCCCAGATGACGTAAAAAAACTGACAGTGCAGGAAGATAGGAATCGAACTATCTGGGGGTGGATCACCCTTATCACTTAGGGGTATAAATATAGATAACCTATCTCGGACCTACTGAATATACATATAAAATTTTATCAAAATCGGTTAAGCCGTTTCGGAGGAGTACGGTAACAATTTTTTTTTAAATCTATAAATAAATAGGGGTTGATGGTAGAAGGGTGAAAATTTAGGGTTGTATGTACCTTGTGTGATCCCCATCCTAGAGCCCTTTGTCCGTCTACTTTGTATGAATACATGGATAGAATTAGACTCCTTCCTTTTAATCTTTTTATTCAAAGACATGATCGAATAAAAACGGCGTTAGCGATGGCTATAAAGTTATATGGGAAATGTCATCGATCGTCATTTTCAAGCCAACTGGACGCGGTATCATGCGGTATATCAAGGATACTATAGAGATAAGGATAGTTCGATTCCTATCTTCCTGCACTGTCAGTTTTTTTACGTCATCTAGGGACCGAGTTGAAGTTGGCGCTAAAGATTTTAGACAGTGACAGTTATTTTTGCATTTGACGGACGAGCGCACAGTGCGTTGGAAGATAAATTTAGCGGGACATAAGCGTTTGGTTAGAAATAAGCCAAAAAATGTGTACTGATAAGAATAAATAGTAGACATTCCAATTGATATAAAAATGCATGAATATTCTTTGTATTTCGATACATTTTTATCAACCAAATTTGGTCGTTTTCTGCTCAGGAAGGCAGAGATCATACGAAAACAAAATATTTTGTGCTTATACATTTTATTCCAAAGTCGAATTATGTTGAAGATTGCCAAAGGTATGTACTTTTCTACTGTACGTATATTATTTGTTAAAATCCTTTGTGCCTTTGTTCTGCAGATATCAAACTTTCACCTTTTTTTAAATATCGATATATTGAATGATGCAGATTTTTTGAGTTACCAACAGTTACCAACACAGGTAGTTACAGTCACAGGGAGTTCAAGCTTAACAGGTGAATGTTCAAAAAGTTTCATTTCAATCGAATAGTACCTATAAAAACAAAACAACTCCATCAAAAGGCACTGAGTTTAAAAAATTGTCTTAGATACTTACTATCTTTGAATAAGAAGACTAAGGAAGGAGCATAATGCTATCCATGTATTCATGCATGGTGGGCGGAAAAGCCACAATAAAAGCTCTCTAGAGTGGGGATCCTTGACAGTTCTGTTTGACGATTCATTTGACAATATTTGAATTTGATTTGAAATTTTGTGGATTTGTCAGTCTTTACGGAGCTTATTTTATGTTATTTATTATTTATTCTACTACTGATAGTTGTATAAAGGTAGTAAATCTAGATGGAAATTGTGGCAGAACTTAAATTAACAGTGACACTATCGCGATTTATCGAAAAAGTCTCTAAAATAGTTGGTTGTGTAGCGTGCGGTAGATCTCGGCAAAAATTGAGTGAAATAATGGAACAACTTTTCGCTAGTAAGTGACTATATAATATACATACGTGTAGTAAACCGATCATTTATGAAATTCACTTAAATTAACTAAATTATATATTTTTCTTGCATTTTAGCTTTTATTTATTACTTGTCAAAGATTAGATGTCAAAGAATTTAGATACGTTAATTTGACTTACCTGCTTCAGTAGCGTATCGGATGTTTGTGTTAATAAATACTTATTATAACTTATCTATTTTTATTAGAATTATATATTTTTATAACAATTTTAATAACTACCAACATTTATTCACAACGTAAAATAAAACAACAAATTATTGAGTCTACCCCACGTCTACCCTACATCATAGTTTTACATTTTTTAAATAAAATTAGAACGACACTGATAAACCGGAATTTAAGTCGGCCATATTTGAGGCCCATCGCGGTGTACCTAAGATTTTTGATATGCTCCTTCCTTAGTCTTCTTATTCAAAGCTTACTATATATGAATTTACAATTACCGAGTGTTAAAATTAAAATATCTATCTTATTTATTATTTTCAAAACAAAATAGAATTTTTTAAAATAAAATATACAGGGTGTCACAAGATTACAAAGTAATTAAAAAACAACTGCTAAAGAATTTTTTATTAAAGTATTTCACCTGATATAATTTTATGTATTTGGCAATAGTTTACAGTACGGTTTTTGTGTGTCATGTACGAATAATATCATAGTTTTATTATCTTGTATTTATTTATTTATTAATAATTTAAGTTGTTAATAAATAAATAAATTTAACCATATGGTTGTTATTTATTAGACCATTTGCTACGTTCTTAGATTTTAAGTCCCAAACATCGCTCTTAAGATTTTGTCCCGCTAGAATAACCATCCGCCGCACTGTGTAGCGCTGGTCCCTGCGTGACGTAAGCACCCACGGCCACTACGACAGCGGCGATTTGACGCGATCGAACAGTCCTTTAGAATATATACAGTCCTTGGCGGTATGTTCTTTAATATTTACATTCAAAAAAAATCGCATTTTTTCGCGAACTTTTTCGCACACTCTGTACTTGCATTTGTTACAGGGGCACGGAAAAGTCGCTACCAAGATACAATTTACCGAAATGTTGGACATGACTCCCTTCATGAGCACGAAGAAAGCCGATAGTCCTTTCCCATCGGACAACATGTATTCGCTGTTTGCCGTGATCAATCATCAAGGTACTCGACAGAAAACTATACAGAGTGATTATTATACAAGGTGTTTAAAAAAACATGTGCCATTTCTCGTGGGGAGATTCTTCACGTAAAAATAGGATTTATTTTTCATATAAGCCTTCATTTTTTTTCAATTTATTATAATTTTCTGCCAAGTGCTTTTACTGAATCAAATGAAATTTTGAGGGTAAAAGTTACTATAGGTGCTACATATTTTAACGCTAAAAAAGTGCCGGCAAATTCACCAGGGACGTGCATATGTGTTATCACTGGAATCTTTTTCTAAAAGAGACATGAACGCCACTGACTTTTTTCTCTTGCTGGCAAAATCGTGTTTAATGCCGATTAAAAGTTGTATCTTGATATTTGGTCGATTTCGATCACCTTGATTAGTTAAACAAGGCCGGACAGCTGTGACGTAAAAATCTCGTGACGTCACCAACTGGAGGCCCAACTCTATTTAGCAGCGTTGATAATTACCCGATAAAAGTTGAAATTGTGGATCTTTTTTCACTCACCAGATATATTTCGAAGTTTTAAAATGTCTTTTCCGAGTTTTTAAAAGTATTATAGTATATAAAAATAGTTTTAATAGAATACGGAAAAAATCATACCAGTCAATAAATGTTTATCTCTCACTTTTTGTCAATCAAATTTAATAAAGGAGTATTTTAAGTTCACAATAGTGTGTAATATGAGAAAAAAAACAATAAAAAAATAGATATTTTTTATAGTATATATCGTGGGCGTGGATTTTCGCTGTACGCCCACGATATTATGTATTTTATCGATATTTCACGCCCCCTGCTTCGGGGCTGTCGTAGCGCGTAGCGGAGTTGACAGCACAAATCACATACAAGTTGACAGTCATCGATTTATCGGTAGGTGTGCGGATGTGGTAATTATAATCGATAATAGAAGGGTGAAAAAAGTTATAAATTTGTAAAAAGAGGTGTTTAAACTATAAAGTGATTATAAGTGTGTGCAATTATACAATTTAAAAGGTATAATGTCTAAATAATAAGATGTGAATATTATGTTACTATGTACTTATGTTACTACCCAAGTAGCATCTATCTGACTTCGAACTAAATCTGACCTGAAGCGATGTCAGACTTTGTGCAAATTTAGGTCGGGTGCTGGTGATACAACCTGTGACGTCGCTTTCCTATTAAAAGCGACGTCGTTGGATCCGAGTCGGTAAATCCAACGATCTGTCGACGTACAAAATAACAACGTACCATTTTTATTAATTTCCCAATGTCGTTCCCACGTTGGCTTGCACGACGTACATATACTTGAACTAGCCCGACGTCTACCCGTTGTCCGAATAGGATACGTCTCACTGATAATCCCTAAAGTAGAGTTAAAAAAAAAGAGTTTAAAATATACTTTTTCTTTAAAAATTTTATTATGAACTTATAACGCCATTACACAATTTTAATATTATATAAAAGCTTGTCGCGAGATTTCTCTACATCGATAAACAAGTAAATTAACTAAAATCTGTGTCTACCCTGTCTCATTTTCAAAGTTTGTGTTATGATAGACCACTAGACCAGGAATTACAAGATAAAGTTTACGTACCAGCTTTTTATGGGTGCAACTGTACACTCAAATCTCGCGGCAAGCTTTTATATATTAATATTAAAATTGTGTAATGACGTTATAAGTTCATAATAAAAGTTTTAAAGAAAAAGTTTATTTTATTCTTTTAGTGTATTTAAATAAAAACTTGTTTTTAAAAAAGATTTTTTATAAAATGTATCAGAACAATTTTGAAGAACTTTCCTTAAATGAAAATATTTTATGTAAATTCGTTAAATTATTTCAGACAATTAAATTCAACCATCTTTGTCAAAATTTTCCTATAATGTATTTTTTGTTAAAATTATACGCAAAAGTTAATTTATTAATACCTTAAAGAATATTAATAAGAACTTAAATGTAGCAAACAAAAACCGAAAGCTCCTAATTTGGAAACATTCGTAAATAACTATAAGTAATCAATGTACCTATTTCATTCTGCTGTTATTTCTAGAAATAAATTAATTGATTTGTTTTTTAAATGTTTTTCTTTGAGAATGCATATTTATTTAAAGTAACAATTTAAAAAACGTGTATCTAAATTATGTTCTAGCACCAGTCGAATAATTTTTTACGTCACGTGTAAAATTTTTTTGAATACATCTCTGGGCTGACTGGCGCTTACGCGGCTATTGGTTTTGGCGAGAGAGCTCGCCGCTCTAGTGTTCTCCCTCTTTCGAATCGCAAATCCGAGCGTAAAAAGATCAAAGCGGCACGCTACACTGTCCGAGCTGTTTTTTACTTAAGCTGTGGTATTAGTATATTATACAGGTACCTGTCAAAAATGTTTTTCTTTTAAATTGATTAGATTTATCAACTTACAGTTGAGGGTTGGAACCTTTGGTGTTACACAGCAAAATAAAAACACTAAATCACCACAATACACCAAAACACTTTTACTTTTACACTGTATTATCAACTTGTCAAATTGTTTATATTGCAGGTGAAACTTCGTATGCTGGTCATTATATTGCTTACGTCAGACAACTAAAGGATCATTGGTACAAGTGTAATGACGAAGTTATCTCTAGAGTTGGATTGGACGAAGTCTTGTTCTCAGAAGGGTAAGTTGTAACCCTAGATCATATAGTTCGTATCAAATAAACTTTTAGTCACGTGATTAAGCTTGACCGGCACAGCGTTGCCCACTTTTACATATTTTCTCTTAATCAAAGTATTTTAGGAAACAAAAATAAATTAATTATAAATATACTAGCGTGTACCCGCGACTTCATTCGCGTCGAATTAACTATTTGTAATGGTGATGATACATCAAAGCACGAATTTCCATTTACATACAAACTGGATAAAATTTTCTCACATTTATGTCAGCATGAGAAAAAACAATATGGCGATATTATTATATAACTTATTAATATTTGAGGGGTAGTTTCATCTCGTTGGAATTTGACTTTCGAAAAATCCGTTTGCCAAAAATAAGCTTTTTACGTCAAGCAGTTTAAGCAGAATCGTGGTTAATCAATTACCCAACTTTTTGGAACACCCTGTATGATTTTTTAAAAAATTTCAAAATATGTAAAAAACAAAATAAATTATGCATGTCCAAGCGTTTTCCCGAAAGTCTAATCGTTTTTTAGATAACAAATATTGTAATATTTGAGGGGCATTTTCACCCTCTTGGAATTTGAGATTCGAGAAGCCCCTCCTTGTCGAACCTCTACACCCCACAGTCAATCCGTTTACCAAAAATCAGCTTTAAACGCCAATCAATTTAAGCAGAATCGTCATTACTCAATGGTCATATTTTATGAAACACCCTGTATAAATTTTTAAAAAATCTTAAAATATGTAAAACAACAACATAAAATATACGTGTTTAAGAGTTTTTCCGAAAAACTCACCGGGTTTTAAATAAAAAATATTCTAATATTTTGAGGGGAGGTTTCACCCCCTTAGAATTCGATTTTCGAAACACCCCTTCTTATCGAACCTCTAAACCCTAAAATCAATCCGTTTTCCAAAAATCAGCTTTTTACGTCAAGCGCTTTAAGCAGGATCGTAATTAATGACCAGATTTTTTGAAACACCCTGTATACATTTTTAAAAAATCTTAAAATATGTAAAAAAACAAAATAAAATATACGTGTTTAAGCGTTTTTTTTTTCGGAAACTTGACCGTTTTTAAAATAAAAATTATGTAATATTTGAGGGGTGGTTTCACCCCCTTGGAACTGGAATTTCAAAAAATTCTTTCTTATCGAACCTCTGCACCCTAGAAATTTTTTTTTTAGAATTTAGAATGAGTGGGAGGGGGGTTAATCACTTCGACCTTACAGATCCATTGTGTCCCCCTTTCTTGAATCATAACTCATCATACAGTCCCAGGGCTTTGACAAAATCCAGTATCTGGGACGGTTTTATAGAGGGTAGTTCTCCATCTCCATTATCAGTCGTACCAAAATTCATGGCACGAATGGTTGTCGTCTCGGCGCACTCAGTGATGAGGTTTACTGGTGTTTCCCCATCTTCCCCACAGAATCTGCATTCGCCGTTTCTTCTTAGTTTCAATCTACTGAGGTGTTCATTGGGGAGACAGTGTCCTGTTAAAAACCCCGTGACAATCCGAAGATTGTTCTTACTCAGACCCAGGAAGATCTGTGATTTTTCTTGATCATAAGCCCTCAGAAACTTCTTCGAGTGTCTTAGACCATTGCAAGATTTCCATTCCAGGTTGCGGATGGAATCTTCCAAGTTCTTGAGTTCCGCCTTGAGTTGGTTACCACTTGGAAAGCAGAACGGTTCTGGTCCAGTTAGTGGAGTGTTCGCTCCTTTCCTAGCTAGATTATTTGCTTTCATTGCCTTCTATCCCTTGGTGAGCAGGCACCCAGTGTAGGAGGACTTTGTTTTCTTTGCCTAATTTATTCAGCTTCTCTAAGCATTCTTTGACCAATTTCGAATCGATTGATACTGAGTTGATCGCCTTTAACGCTGCTTGACTATCAGATAAGATGGCTATTTCTTGTGTCCGATAGTTCCTATCTAAGATAAGTTGTACGCATCTCTCGATAGCGTAGATTTCTGCCTGTAGGATACTAGGGCCCATTGGTTCGGAGTAATTAGCTCTCGGCCCAAACACTCCGATCCCTGTTCCCGTATTGGATTTGGAAGCATCAGTATACCAAGTTATGGTATGGTCTTTTAACTGATGGGCAAGCGTTTCGCTCTTCCAATCCTTCTTATTGCTCAATACTACATTGACATGTTTGTCAAAGTTGTACGTTCTTGGCATATCGTCCACTGGGAGTTGCAGGAGTGGTACTTCCTTTTTGAGGGTGTTCCAAGCCCCTGATCTGACAATTCTCCCAGTACTAATTCCGTTAGTGACCATTCTAATCATTGTCGCATTGGCATATCTACCAATGACAATGTGCAGTGGTGTTAGATCTAGAATGACCTCCATTGCTGCTGTTGGACAGGTTCTCATGGCTCCTGTGATGCAAACACATGCTAGTCTCTGGACTTTGCATAGGTTTAGCCTTGCCGTCCGTTGCTCTAGTTTTGTGTACCAGGCAACTGCTCCATAAGTAATCATGGGTCTTACTATCATGGTATACATTCAGCGCAAAATGTTAGGGGAGCAGCCCCATCTATTTCCGCCCAGTCTTCTGCATATCATGAGAGCCTTTATGGCTTTGCTGGTAGTGTTCTTAATATGCCTGTTCCACAGGAGTTTACTGTCCAGGGTTATTCCCAGGTATTTAACTTCCTGTGTTGGCAGTTGGATTGGAACTGGAAGTTCCCCCTTGGAACTGGAATTTCAAAAAATTCCTTCTTATCGAACCTCTGCACCCTAGAATCAACCTGTATGCCAAAATTGAGCTTCTTGCGTTGAGTGGTTTGAGCAGGATCGTGATTAATCAGTGAGTCACTTAAAGATTTTATATATTAGTATGGATAAACAGTTATTAATTACATCGCGCCCTCTATTACGTAACTAAAAGTTTAATTGGTATCAAATATATACATATTTTAATGAAAGCTTCATTCAGAAATTAGTGGTTTCATTTATACTTAATTTAAGATCATTCACTCAATGTCCAAAAAAAAGAACAATTAAAATTAATACGATATCTTAGCAGCAGCTTGCGGTAGTCAGTTGTACCAATAGAGAAAGCCTGAGCCTAATATACTCTGTTTTTTTTCTCAGGTAAGATTTCGACAGACGATGACAGAAAAAAGCAGTTCACGTCCATATCAATCTATTTATTTCACTAAAAAAAAATTCTAATATTTTTTAAGTTCACTATGGATGTGATATGATATGTTTATACAAAGATATTTAAACTCAAGAGATACAATTGTTTACCTTTCTCCTTCATCAGCCATTATTCTATCCTTATTTTCCCATCTCTCTTACACCGAAAACATTTGCCAGATTTACCTGTATATTGGTATTAGTATTCGATTAAATACCACAACCAATTATTAAGTATTAAATAATTTCGTTATATTTTTGTAATATATCAACTACATTAATTTGCTAACGTCAATTTTTTCATTTAATGCTTAACTGCTTTACTATTTTAAATTTTATAATGGAATAAAAATATCATGGTCGTGTTTCTTTTAATAATAAATAGCAGTTTGGCAACGTCAGTTTTAGAAATATGCCGGCGTAGTACAACGCATGTACAACGTATTTCGAGGACGAATGGAAAATCCTAGATTCTCCTTTTACGTTGCGATATTGCTATGCCGCCGATCAAGCTCCATATTCTTTATTTGCAGTATTATAGTATTTTTGCGTTATTTTGTGGACTTCTGTGGACATTAATTTGAAAATATGGTACATTCATGTATTGTGTACAAGAGAGTGTATCATTTAAATCCAAATTTAACTTTTCACCGGTAAATACAAATAAATAGGGTTAGGTATATTACTATATCCTTATTCAAAGACTATATCCTATTCTCTGTAGATCAGATGCGTACATAGACATAAAAAATAGCAGATCTCTAAATTATATTTTTAGGTTTATTTTTTAAATCATATATTTATTATGTTTTTTAAATTATATATTTATTAATTAAATTATTTGTAGGAAAAAGGTATATGGTACATACTAATTACCAATAAGTTAATAACAATTTCTGTTTTCCTTTTAAGAAAGGGTATTGAATGTTAAAAATTAAATTTAAGTTCTATAAACCGCCTGTAATTTATAAACAACATCTATTTTCGAAAAACCGTACTTTCTTATAAGAATAGATCTAATCTAGGTATCTACTTGGGTTTGACAAACCATGAACTACCTTTTGTGAAAATTTTATTGGGGTGTACCAAAGATGGAATTTTGCGGCCTTACTTTTTTTGTTGCCGTTACAATTTTATACGGCTTTTGTTTTAAATTTTGGTTGCTATAATGCAAATGGGCATCTTTTGACATACATATAATTAATGTTCTTATTACATGAATTTTATGACTTTCTTACATTTTATTGTATTGAAATTCTTTGCACATGCACTTTTTATTATTTATAAACTGAATAACTGAATAAATATGAATTTTCCTTTGCAAGCCAGAGAAAAAAAACTAAATATTTTTTAAAACTAAGAACCATTTACTAAACAATCACCATTTTATTTTATTTATGATTTTGTAAAATTATCGCTAGACTTTTCTGATGACTGTGTATTATAATATCAAATAATTTTGTTTAGATATACACATACCGTATGATCGAATAAAAACGGCGTTCAGTTGGCTTGGAAATGACGATCGATGGCATTTCCTATATAAATTTACATATAAAATGACAGCGATCTTCATTTCATAGCCATCGCTGACGCCGTTTTTATTCGATCATACGGTATAATATACATCTTGTATTTTCAGTTCTGATTTACTGTGTTTGAAACATCCCTAAAATGAAAGTTAAGGTAAATAAATGTTGAATTTTCTTACTTCTTATTCCCTTATTATTGAACAATTGTGAACTAATAAAAATTATAAGGCACATTTTAAATTTTATTCACTGTTTTTTATTGTAGTTGTAAAATTCATATATATATATAATAATAAAGTTTTTATCAAAAATATGT